ATATATCTAAACAAATAAAATACTTGTAAGTAACAAGTGTATTTGTACTCAATACTCACCCTAGTTCTAGGTGTCAACCACTAGCCCAGTATTGACATTTTGGACCAAGATAGGACCCAACCAACTTTAGGCAAGGGTGTATATGTATTTATAAGGGTAATGATATAGAGATAATATTTTTGTATAATTTTTCATATAACTTTTATATGTCAATTAATGAGTAAATACATTCAATATCACAGATTTCAAATGAATAAAAAAGTCAATCATATTTTTTTGTACTAACCCCCTAATATCCAAAAGTTATCTTGACTAATTTAAAGTTGAACTGTATTAAATCCCATAAGGGAAAAGCTCTTGTAACGTCTGTTTTTCCATTTACAAAACTCGAATTTGAGATTTTTCTTAAGTAGAACCGAATTTCTTTCACTCAGGCTAACAAGTTGTTAGTCAAAGAGTTCATCATTTAAATGACACATAAAGTTGTACAAAAGTATTGTCTTTAAATTATTTTTTTATATATTACTTGCTCCTTTTTTTTCTCCTTTTATTTTCTTTTTGATTCCTTTTAGCAATTATGCGGGTTTTTGTTTTTTGTCATATAGCAATGATGCTGTTTATTTAGTCAATTTAAATCATCCATAATAAAAAGAATTTAATTTATATGCATGTCTCATGAAGCTAAGTTCATATATACTTTCAAATTTGATCAAATACAGTTAATCCATATTCGAAGGAGATTTTTGAATATTAACTCTTTAGTCTCTGAAGTTTTACAACTAAACAACAGGTTTTACATATTTTATCAATTGATCTAACAAATATAAATAACGATGTTATCTAAAAAAAAAAAAAAAACACTTCAAAACACCAACTAGTTATGCAGTAAAATCTAAGGATGTGATGAATTTATATTGACTCATAGCATTATTAAATCTTTTCAAATAATTAATTAGTTTAAACCAAATTTACGCACTCTTGCTTGTTAACTAATTAATAGATCATTACAACTATCACAACGTTCTATTTAAAACAGTTAATAAGTTTTCCAATGAATCTATTGTTTAACAGTTTTTTAAATGAATTTACAAGTCAATGATTACCTTAATAAATCTACGTAAAATAGTTATCGGTTTTTGAATGAATGTCAAATGCACAGATATATAGCTTGTATAGTTTAGTCCTAAATTATTTTTAATTATTAAGTTTTTGTTAAAGCATGTTAACCAAATTATTATCAATCATAACTTCTAACTCATGCATCTTATCTGACAAATAAATTATTTCAACTACCATAACGGTTTACCTAAAACGGTTAACAAATTTTTGAATAAAACTTAAATTTATGGATATACGATTTGAACTTTAAACTTTATACAGACATATGTAATTTGCACTTTAAACTTTAAAATGTATTGTTATTTTTTCTCTTTTTAGTAGAAGAGTCAAAATGTGCCAATCTAATTAATAATATTTAGCTTTTTCTTTGTTTGGATGGTTGAAATATCTATTAACTAATAGATCATTTCAACTATCACAACGGTCTATTTAAAATAGTCAATAGTTTTGTCAATAAATCTATTGGTTAACAGTTTCCAAATGAATTTACAAATCAATGATTACCTGAATGAATCTATTTAAAACAGCTAACGGGTATTGAATGAATCTCAAATTTATGGATATATAACTTACGGTTTAGTCCTAAATTCTTTTTAACTTAAATCATGTTAACCAAACTACTATCAATCATAACTTCTAACTCATGGTTATTAACTAACAAATAAATTATTTTAACTGGCACAACAATTTACTTAAAACGATAAATGGATTTTTAAATAAAGTTTAAATGTACAGATATACGATTTGTACTTTAAACTTTGTAAAGACATATGGTTTTTACTTTAAACTTTAAAATGCTAATTAATAATATTTAGCCTTCTATTTGTTTGGATGGTTGAAATGATCTATTAACTAATTAATAGATCATTTCAACTATTATAGTGGTTTATTTAAATGGTCAATGGTTTTTTCGATGAATTTGTTAGTTAATAATCGTTTGAATGAATTTACAGGTTAACAATTACCTAAATGAATCTATGTAAATCAGTTCATAAGTTTTGAATGAATCTCAAATGTATGAATATATAACTTGTACTGTTTAGTCCTCAAGTCTTTTTAATTAATAAGTTTTTGTTAAATCATGTTAACCAAACTATTATCAGTCATAATGTCTTACTCATGCATCTTAACTAACAAATAAATTATTTCAATTACCATAATAGTCTACTTAAAAGATTAATTCATTTTTTAGTTCGATACAATGTGACCTAGTGATCATGTTTTTTTGTAAGAACGTATTTGAATGTAAAAGTTCTGAGATTTATTTTCAGGCACTATTTTATTTTTCCAACAATTCTCCCAAGTAAAAAAAAAAAAAGGAAAAAAGACTTAAATGTACGGATGTACAATTTGTACTTTAAACTTTGTACAAATGTATAATTTATACTCTAAACTTTAACATATATAATCATTTTTATTTTTTTTTAGTAAAAATATCAAAATGTTCCTGTCTAATTAATAATGGATAATGATATAAGAGACGATTTTTGCGAGACGAAATTGAGGAACCATCGACGTGGCTTGCCACGTAGACAAACACACAGCACACTTATCACATAGACTTGCGCATGCGTAACTTTATTTTTTGGGGATGACAATTTGTGAAAGGAGTTTAACTTAAATCCTAACTCTAACTTTATTTTTTAGGCAACAGATCTTGAATTCCTTCAAGATCATGGCCTCCTCTTTGAACCCACATTCAATCTCGGCTAAAGGTTTCAACTTTCTAATGTAGATCTTTCTGGAGTTTCCTAAAAGGTGGAGATAGAAATGGGGTTTAGCCTGAAAGCGATTGTGTTCTTGTTCCCCATCTAGGTTTTGAGTTTCAAGCTCAGTCATGGCCGCATCTTCACCTTCAAGATGCAACCCCGATTCTCAAAACTCATCATGAACTGGTTCAACTCCACCGGGAGACTCCCCCATTTGCCCGCAAAAAGCACTTTTGAGTACTACGCTGTGTTAGTCCACCATGATCGTCTATTTCTCCTCTTTGATTTGGTTGTTTCTCCTCTTTGATTTGATTGGTTCTCCTCTTCCTCATCTTCATTCGGATGTTTAGGGTTGGGGCTCTGTAAAGATGAAGACGGAAGAGAAATCGATATTGAGAAATTAAAAATTTTACTTTTTTTAACAAAAACCTAAATCAATCATTTAATTTGGTTTACATGGCTAGTATGCCGTATGTCTCTTTACGTGGTTTGTCACGTAAATGGTCTCTCAATTTTATCTTACAGAAATCATCCCCTATATCATTATTCACTAATAATATTTAACCTTTTATTTGTCTGGATAGCAGAAAATTACTGTCTATCCAATAGGTGTCCCACCATTTCTAATTCAATACTAAGAATTATAATTGGAAAAATGCCAAAAAAAAAAAAAAAAAGGTCATACGTTTCTATTCACAGTGGCTTATCTGTTATTTCGTGGGTTTCCAGGTCCAAAGACAAAAAGGGTCATGCGAAAACTCACACCCTGCAAATAAAAGCTCCTCTGTCTCGCCCGTTACTTATTCCATTGCCATGCCAAATGCCAAGTGCCAATTCACACCAACAAATGCCAACGGAGGCAATAAAGTTCCTTCCTTTTACAGAACTCCTTCACCACTATATAATCACCAACTCCCCACCGCCATCATGCATTCATCTCTGATTGTGTTTCACAATGGCTTTGGAAATTCAGAAGGGTCTGCTTCGAGGCTTCATTCAGAATATGTATGATGAGGTATACGGTTTCTTTCATTGCTTTCTGTTTAATTCTTCGAATTTGTTACATGGGTTTTTCTTGCTATTGATTCATGTTTTTTTTACTCTGTTTGTTGCTGTTGTTTCTAGGGCTTTTTGTTTTTTTTTTTTTTGGACAAAGATTGTGTCTTTTGTTTTGGGGATGGCAGAAGGACTATCTCTTTTTTTGTTTTTAGATTACTAGGGCCAGCCTATGTGATTTATATTCATTAATTTGTGTTTGGTTTTGTGAAATGAAGATACTTGCGTGTTGGTGCGAGTATGTGTTCAAAGTTCTTGGTGAATTCCTATATTAAAGCAAATGCTAAGTTCTTAATAGCAATTTTTGGTCTCTCTATGACGGCAGGGATTTGTTAATGATCAATTTTATCAGATGCAAGCCATGCAGAATGCCAGGCCAGAGGATGTTATGCGAACAATCACTTCCTACTGCACTGCTGCTGAAAATTTATTCTCTCGATTGACCTTTCACACGTAATGTCATATTTTTTATGCAAGAGTAGTGGCTTGATATGGTGCATAGCTTTACTGATTTTTTTTCCACTCTTATTTTCAGCAACCGAGCTGAGGTTGACTTCCGTCAGGTTCATTTTCTTGCTCGTGATCTGTATGCAAGAACCAGCAAGTAGTTTTTTTTTATTCACTCTTTTTTTTTTTTTTGTTACATTAGCTGATAGGCTATATAATAGAGAATAACCCTTCCCTTCCCTTAATCTCTCCTCATCTGTCTCAACGTTTGAACTCAAAATCTTTAACTTGGAGTCTTAAGTTCCTAACTACTTGAGACACCCCATTGGAGGCTTTTGATTCACTTCATTAATCACTAACATAGGAGTTAACATATATCATTTAAATCCTAATACAGTCAATCCCTCCATTGTTTCGGTAACAGACTAATAGTCACCATGAATGATTTGACCATTCTTTCTAATATTGTTGTATCACTTTTCTTTTATCTTCTATTTTTCCTTTTTTTTCTCTACTTCTTCTAGCAATTTTTCAGTCAAGCATTAATCATTTCGTTCGCACATTGTCCAGTATTGGTGCAGAGCATGTTAAGCTTGCATGTGCTGAAATTATTCGGGCTGCAGAACAGAATAATAAGGAACAGTAAGAAACAAATTTCTCATAGACATCTATCAGCCACATCTGCATATTCTTTCATTTTATTCTTTTCACAAGGATTTCGGTATACATCTCATTTAAGAGGCAACTTGAAAAGGTAAAAAATGTTTTTGCAAATCGATTGAGATCTTGTTATTCACTATCATTTATATTTATCATTTCCCTTTCTCGGGGAGTAAGAGATGTATGTTATAAGTACTTCTTTTGCTGTTTTTGTTCTACCATGTCTATATTAATGCGATATAACGAAGCATGGAGTCTTTTCTTTCCATTTTCTTTTTCTTTTTAAATTAGAGGTCCATGTATGTCTTCGAACTCTGACTTCTGCTCACTTTGGTCTACAAAAATATTGTTTCAGGTGCTGTCAAACTCTGTATTGGACTAAGAATGAATTTACCCATCTGAGAAGGAAATTTGAGACTGTGGTGCAGGTACTTAATGGTGTTAACAAAATCTCTATTTTTCTAGTAAATGATTGACTCTAGACTCTAGCGCCCTTTTTCTAAGACATTGCAAAATTTTTAATCATCTTAATGATATAAAAGGATAAAAATTGATGGATTCATACTTTTGTTTCTTGCTTTGATTTGTTTTCATCTTTTTATAACATCTTACTTGGTTCTAGAACGTAATTTTTTTCTTTACTTATACGGTTATACCTTTATCTTCCCAATATTATCAGGACAGTCATATATTCTTTATGTTCCTTGACTCTCTACTCTTCTCGTTTATGTGTGTCATTTGAACTGCAGATGGAGAGGAGGATTATTGAGCTTGCAAGTAGAAACTGAAAGGGAGCCAGATCCTATCCCAACTTATCTCCTTCAGTTGGAAGTTATCTAGTTGAAAGTTTGCAATGTTTTGTCAATGTTTCCATTTCGGGCATCTCTGCTGTAGCCTTACGTCCGGAACAGGAGAATATGCTACAGTAGCCTGTTTCTTTTATATTTCTATTTGATGTAAATGCATTTCAAGTTTTTAATCAGAATGTTTATTGTTGTTAAAAGCAATGCAAATCAGACAATTGGGAACAATCTAATCTTCGTTGAATCTTCTTGTTATCTACAGTGCCATACTTCAACAAAGATGTCATATGGAATATTTTAATTTCACCAAAATGCTCAGGCCCTGACATCATACGGGATGTTTTTTTTTGTATGTTTTGTACTTACTGTCTACAGTTAAAGAGATAGAAAACATATGTTTTTAGATTTTTAATCGGTAGAATCAGTCAATTCCAGAGAACTTTACGTCGGTATATATCATAAACCCTTTCTCCAGAAAACTGACTTGATTTTCTAAGGTCACGGTTATATATAGGGTAAGTAAATACATTAGTTGTGGACATTAACTATTGCTGCCTTCGATTTAGAGAAAAGATTCCTCAAAGACATGAGTGGAAATCTAAGATTTGCCATTATCACCTAGTTTCTGCCTCTTATGGTTGTAAACCATACACGCAACGCCATATTCCATGAAAGTAGACTGAAGTTTGAGACTTGCAAATTTGTATACTCAAAATCTCTTACATTTAGCACTTCTGATCTCCAGTTACAATTTCATTTGGATAGGTTATCTTGATTCTACTGTTTAGATATGTCATTTCTCTAACATATAATACTGGAAGTGTGGCACTCTAAGCCGTATGTGTTTTAAGCTGTAGGCCACGCAGTACTCAAAGATACCATTTTTAACTATTTACTGATGTCGTTATTTCTAAGCATTTATGATACTCCTTTGTGGTTTAATACATCTAAACAAAGTGTCTTTTAGATTACAGAAATGGGCCTCACAG